GTCAAAAAAAGAAAAAAAAAAAAAAAAAAAAAAAAAAAAAAAAAAAAAAAAAAACATGAAATAACCAGCCCTGTATTTTTACTCTCACAAGCCTCTTCTGAGCAGTGAAAACTTGGTTATTTGATTTTATTCTCTCTTGAACTTCAGAGACATCTTTGTTGTACTATATAAAAATCCTCTTTATTGGAGTATGTGTAGCTCAGTGTTTTAGAAAACAGTACTAAACTGTACTAGTATTGTTAACATATATACCAGGAACAGCTGTAATCCATCATTAAAATTCAAATCACTTTCAAAATATTGCTTTGTATCTTTGAGGAGACCAAGGTGGAGATTTGAGAAGAGGCTCAAAATAGAAGAACGCAAATATGTGGTTAGTTACGTCCATCTATTGCTTTACTGTAGTCATACATTTACACGTCATTCTAGTCATTTTAATACACAGGGATGTGCATTTCAGTACCGATTTTGCAGATGTGAAAACTGAGACTTGAAGAGATTAAAAATCTCCTGAAGTCTCACAGTGAGAAAAGTTCAGGACTGTGAATCTCACCCAGGGTCTTTAAAATTATCAGTACTCTTCAAAAGTACGTAACACGCTATGTATTTTACTTATTATTTGTGTATTCTCAGTTCTGGTACATAAATTCTGGAAAGGAAGGGGCTTTCTCCAGTCTTGATCATTTATATAGCTACCAGGGTAGAACAGCATCTGCCAATATTAGTTGCTGAATGTTTGTTGGATGAATGGATAAATCAGCAAACACTACCTCGTTACAGACAATGGCAACCATCCCTACAAATCACTTCCTTCTCTCTGTTATTTGCAGACTGAATTATCAGTCTGAACAGTAGGCAGAGGAACCTAATTGTCCCCGCTTCTTATCTTGGTCATAGGGTTCTGCTCCTGCCACTTAACTGCTGGCTCTGCGAGTGACTCTGAGGGGCCCGAGAGCAAAGCTCCATCCTTCACAGACTCTGCTAATGAGGAGGCGGACTGCCGTGAGGACAGTAGAGATAGCCAAGCAGGAGAGACAGTGTAGCCTTGTCACTTTTCCCACTTGCTGTTCTAATTGCAGCTACACTTCAGAAATGGCACATGGCGACCCCTGACATATGGTGCAGAGTGGCTGTGATGGACTCACGGCCCCAAAAGACCAGATGAACAAGCTGCATGAACATAACTCATCGTATTGGGCAAAGGGCTCCCAGAGTTCATTGTCGTCAGAGTGGAACAGAATGTTTGTGCGCATGGGAGTGAGTAAAGCCCAAGTTGACATTGATCACTGTAGACTTGGCTATACCATCTCTGAGTGGTATTGAATTAATCAACTTCCATAGAGCTGTGCACATAGAAGGTACTTGATAAATAGCAGGTGCTATTGTTAATGTGGTGCCATTCTCATTGTGAGTCAAGAGAAAGAATGCAACCAAATATTTGAATCACTTACCCTCCAAAAGATCTTTGCACAGATGATGGCCCTTGTCAAAGTAATTATTTGGGCCCTAAAGAGCACTAATTTCAGGGACCAACAGTTAGTGTAATGGCTATGTCGCTGAACTCCCATGTAGCCGACCACGGTTCAAGTCCTGGACCTGGTTGCTTAAACTCACGCCAGGCACATGTGCATGTGTTCCCAAGATCCCAAGAGGAGAATGGAGGAAAAGGTATTGCAGCCTGGCCACCCCCCCTGGGAGGGGGGGGGGGGTGATTTCTCACTTTATATCTCTCTGTCTCTGTCTTTCTGGTGAGCGTACACGCCCTATAGCAAAAACCTCTCCAAAATTAAAAAAAAAAAAAAAGATTAAAAAAAAAGAAGCACTAATTTCAAACCTGTAGTCTTTATGCACGTAACAGTGAGGCCACTAAACTCTCAGCCTGCTGATGGAGCTGCCTCTGTTTCCCAATGAGCATATCGTGAAGCTGGAAGAGGGCTATGGGAAGCAGGTGCAGAACTGAACCCTCTGGAGGGCTAGCCAGAACACCCATTCACTAAGCTAGAGATGGGCTCACAAAATATGGGAACATTTAGGAAAATATCATCTCCCTTATAGGATTAAAAAATGTATTTGTTCTGAAAACTAATACTCATGGAATGAGTATGTATGCATGTGTGTGTGTGAGAGAGAGAGAGCGAGCGAGAGAGAGAAAGATATTCAATATTTACCTGCTAGATTATTGAAGCAACAGAAAGGAAGGAGACTGTGAAGGGTCTCAAACCTCGGGATGGCAAACTCACCCTTTCCAGACACCCAAGAGTGTCCTCCCAGCCCTGGCCCACCCACAACCCCACAGTGCTTATGTAATGAAATGCATCTTTAAGGGGAAAACAATGGAATTTGGAGCAAGCTGTCCTAAGGATATGGGGTAAAACCTCTGGAAACAAAGATTCAAGCTGTAGAGTCCACAAAAAAGAAACACTTCTGGAAAGGGCAGCCCCAAAAGCAGGAATCCAAGGCTGGGAACTGCGTTGTCCCCTTCTCCATCCTGCAGGGCCAGCTGGAAAGTGTTGAGCATAGGCTTACCCCACCTCCCCTTGCCTCTGCTTCTCATTCCTTCCCACATATGCTACAGTATTTAGACAATTCCACACCCTCCCGCCACTGTGGCGGTATGTGTGTTCCGGGGTGCTACAGGGCAGGGAGGACTGGTACATGTAGGAGCAGGCACCTTCTCTAGGGCAGGCCCTGGCAAAGCTGATGAGACAGAGGCTACAGGTCCCAGATCAGAGTGGGAGCTCAGGATTAGAGAGGGCACTTCCCAAGTACACTCTAGGTAGGTGTTCACCAGGAGACAAGGCCTGGCAGAAGGAGTTGCTGGTGGTGTTTGTAGAGCACCCCAAAACTGTATCAAATGCCCCAATGAGCCCATCTCCAAGAACCTTCAAAGAATCTCCCAAATACCCTTCTTCCAATGAAGCCTTCTTAAGCCCCACTGCCCAAAACAGCAGACAGGTTGGCCAAGGCTGCTGCAGAGGTATGCAGCAGTGGTGGCCTCATGCTGCAGCAGACATGGACCAGTTTCTACCCTGGGAAATGACTCCTGTGTGGATTGCAAGCTGTCCCCCACGGTCACAGTCTCCTTACCTTGTAAATGAAAGTCCGCAGGTTCAGGCTTCGGCTCATCAACATAATTAGAGAATATACTTTTGACGCAGGCAAATCACAGAGCTCCTTCATGGCAATCCAAGATTTTTCATCCTCAGGGAAAGTGAGCAAGAGACGAAGAACTCCTGGGTCACACTTTCCAGACAAAGCTACAGTGAGGGCACTGGAGATGACCTGTCGCGAAGCAGGAGGATCAGAAGGGAACACATCAAGAACACAGGGCACTGAGCTCCTTAGGAACAGGGCTATAATTGCTCAGAAGCCCTGAGAGCCTGGGCACACAGGGGACCCAATCCTCTGTTCTGTTACCAACACTGGGAATGGAATGCATCAAAATTGTACACCAGACTCTTCAGACTCTCTGGCTTCTTGTGCAACGTGTTCTTGTTTGAAGGCTTGGACACAATGTGGTAGAACCCTTGGTCCTCTATGCTCTGCATATATCTAAATGCTGGCCCCACCCTCCTAATATGGCCCTAATTGCCAGTGTCTGTGTCTTGTTCATCTAATATCAAATCTTATCCTTTGTTTTCAGCTTATCAGCTTCTATTGCTCCTTGTTAGCAGTGTAAAACTGAGATTTTAACTTTACTTCCTCCATTTTCAGGTTGAAAACAGGATTCCAACCCCTGTTATATAGTTTTTTTTAAAGAAAAATCAAATTGACTCAGAAGGAGAAATAAAGAAATCTTGTATTAGTATCTCTAGTGTATTAGTATCAGGTCCTACCATCAAAGACTCTGAGGCACATCTTCATGGGCATGTGCTCTGGTCTAAAACAGATTTCAGAGTATGAAGCTTGGGGGAACAAATGGCTAAAAAATGTATTTGTTCTGAAAACTAATATTTACTCATGGAATGAGTATGCATGCATGTGTGTGTAAGAGAGAGAGAGAGAAAGAAAAAGAGAGAGAGAGAGAGAACAAATGGTTTTTTCCCCAAACCTTAATGCTCTGAAATATGGCCCCCAGTATAATGGCGCTGTGAGTCCTAAGAGCTGAGGTTTAGTGGGTGGTGTTTGGATCATGGAGGTATTATTCTAATAATTGGATTAATACTACTCACAAGACAGCATCAGTCTTAACTCTTGTGAAAAAGGGCTTGTTCTCGGGACCAGCAGTTAGCATAATGGCTATGTCGCTGGACTCCCACGTAGTCGACCACGGTTCGTGTCCTGGCTTAAACTCACGCCAGGTGTGTGTGCGTGCATGCCCAAGATCCCGAGAGGAGAATGGAGGAGAAGGGATTGCGGCATGGCCATCCCCCCTGGGGGATGATTTCTCGCATTCTATCTCTCTGTCTCTCTCTGTCTGTCTGGCGAGCGCACGCACCCTATAGCAAAAACCTCTCAAAAAAAAAAAAAGTTTGTTCTCATACGAGCTTATTATTATAAAAGGAAGATGGCTGCCCCAGGCCTTTTTCTTTCTATACATGCTCACCATTCTCTCTGCTCTGTCAGTGACATTGTAACATAGCACCAGAGAGCAGCCTGATGCCACGGCCCCACACCTTTGGACTTTCTAGCTACCAGAATCATGAACCAAATAAACCTCTATTCTTTATAAGTCATTTGGCCTCAGGGATTTCTGATAGCAAGACAGGAGCAGACTTTTTAGTTAATGACCTTTGTAACAGGCCAAGTTACAAAGCAAAATAACACAAAAGGTGTACTCCCTGTTTTATATTTTACTCTTGGTGAGTATGACTGCTATGAAATGCTCAGGCCAGGTGAGGCCAAGTGTGTGAATAGGAGCTGTTACACACTTATTAGGAGCCCCATGATCGGGCAGAACTCAGATGCTTTTATATGCCATAAGATGCCCCCCGAAAAAGCATTAAAAGATATAATGGTATATTAGTCAGGATTCTCTGGAGAAACAGAACCAGTGGGGTGCATATGTATGCATGTATGTGTGTGTGTGTGTGTGTGTGTGTGTATTGTGTATATATCTGCACACACAGGTTCATTTAAGGAATTAGCTCACACAATTGAGAACTGGCAAATCCAAAATCTTCACAGGGGCCTACAGGCTGGGGATCCCAGGAGGAGTTGATGTTGTTACTTGAATCCAAAGATCATCTAAAGGCAGAATTTTCCTGTCCTTAGAGAACTTTGGCACTGTTTCTCTGAGCCCTTCAACTTAAGGAATGACGTCCACCCACTTTTTAAAGGGTAATCTGCTTTACTCAAAGACTACTGGTTTAAATATTAATCACATCTTTAAAAATGTCTTGACAGGGCCATTTAGAAAAATGTTTAACCAAATATCTGAGTACTATGGGCCAGCAGAGTGACACAGATTAATTAACACAAATGGCTCTGATACTCTAGCATGCTACTGTGTGTTTTGAATCCTTAGAGGAGAGTGTTAGTGTTTTCATACCTAATTAACCAAGAAGCCTTTATCATATGAGACTTGAGTGGCACAGACACACAGTGGCAAAGTTGTCCTTACTGCCAGCATTTCCCATTGTGAAGGGAGAGGGCAGGCTGCAGGAAAGGCCTGCGTGTGGGATATGGGCACCCAGTCTTTGCTTTAATTAGAGCTACCTCTGTCTGATCAGTTCCATAAAATGGGCTTCAGTATGGAATTTCACTTGGAAATAGGGCTCATCCAAATGCCCCTCTCCAGAGGAGTTTCTCTGGGCTTTGCATGAGCATTAATCCCAACTGACCCAATGAAATTTTTTCCGTATCTGTCTTAATTATTAGGGCCTTCATCTTGATTATTTTCTGGTACATCCTGTTGTCCCCATGTAAGATCACATCAATATATCTCCTAGAATGTAGTCCCAAGATAAAAATATTTGCCCTGAGATTTTTCATATCCCCTTTTGCCAATTTTTACCTAATAGGGATGCTCACACCCTGATCCTGCAGAACAGCCACCGTCCTAGGCCGCAAGATCCATAGACCAGTCATGGATTTATTTCCAAGACTATTCTGTGAATTCCTTAGGCCTCTACATGGCCAGCAAGAAAATGATTTCCTATTCACCCCTTTCAAGTTGTATGTGTATTCTCACAGTTTGGAAGCAGGTGAGAGCAGATGAGGGATAAATAAGAGAAAGAACTCTCAGTTTGCTTGACTGGAAACATCACATGTGATTCCTTTTCCAAGTGAAGCAGGTGTCTTTCAAGGTAGGTGGTGCTCAGGTGAATCATTCCACATGCCAATGTGTGTCTACCACTTTTTGCATGTCAGTGTCTGGCTTGGAAAACAGTCAGGGGATCAGGGCACTGAGTAGATGCCTTCACACCTCTGCCAGTTCAGCATCCATACATTCAATATTTACCTGGCTTTGAAACAATATATATTCCTGGGTGGGGCCTTGACAAGCTAAAAGGAGCTTGTTTACAGGACATCTCCCGAAATCCCAACCTGGAGTGGGGCATGGGAGATGGCTCACACCACCTAACCACAAGTTTAGAGTCAGAAGCACAGGGCACACAAGTAAAAGCACTGCCTTCAGCCTCATGATGGCCAAGAAGGAAATGAATGAAAACTAGAATACTCACTTCTGGAAAACTCAGTGATTCTGGTGGTTTCCAGCTTTACCAGGAAAGTAAAACCATGGTAAATGGATTTTTAAGAGTGGCATCTACACATGTTAGAGGGTCAGCATGGCTCTACTCCAGAGACCTACTAGAAGTCAACCTGCTAACCAAGAGGCCTATACAGAGGATATCAGAGAGTCAGAGGAGGCCTGAGGGCCACCTGCAAGAACTGAGTCACAGAGCTAGAAGTGGTAAGCTAGAAGCACAGGGGGCCAGCATAAGGCCCACCTCTAGTGGGACCCTGACTCCAGCTCTAGCTAGGTGGTTTTGTGTAAGTTCCTTAACATCTCTATGACTCCATTTTTTTTTCATCTGTACCACAGGGGTGGTAATAAGAACCAAGGATGCAAAGGAGAATTAAATGTGATCTAAAGCTCCCTGCATAGGGAACAATCCAGGTAAGCACTTGATAATGAGCAAGATTACTGAGATGTCTATCAGTTATTCCAGAAAAAAAATGTGACTTATAGGAATATTGAATAAAAAGATGAGTAAGAATTAGATAGAGTGGCCAAAAGCTCGCTGCCTAGACAAGGGTGCAGAAGGAGGAGTTGCTTCAGCCTCAAGACCCCCTGACCTGCCAGTCCTGCAATTGCAAATGTAGAAGGAATGGAGGCAAAGCAGGGCTGCCTGGCCTCCATTTCTCACCAAAAGGCCCCTCCCCAGCCTAGGGTGTGGGAGGAGGGATTGCTTCCTACTCAAGACCTCCACCCCTTATCCTGCAAATGCAGAGCTAGAAGCTCAGCCCCTAGCCATACAGTGACTAGAGAAGACTGGGTATATAGAAGAATATCTAAACACTGTGAGACTCTGGAGGAATTCTCTCCCCGTACTCAACTCACCAAAATAAAAAAAGAGAAAGAGAGAGAGAGGAAGAGAGAGAGAGAGAAACTCTTCTCTATAAATCTGAATCCACTACTCCCACTGTGGACTCCACACTGCCACCCACAGTAGAACAGTGAAGTGGGCACAGAGCTAATTTACAAAAAAGGGAAGCACATACCTATAGCAACCTACTTCAAAAAATTAGCAAAAAATGAACACATAACCAGATGATCAAAAATTAAATCAGAGCCTTAAGAACTATGAGAAAACCAGAAAATACTTTCCCCACCACCAAAAAAAAAAAAAAAAGAAAAAAATGCTAAACCAATATTGGATAAAACACAGGAAGTCACTTAAATGTCAGAATGAGCATTCAAGATATTTATCATAATTACACACAACGCAATGCAAGAGAAAACAAACAATGAGCTCTAGATTATAATATCTTGCCATGACTTGAGGAAGAAGCTCCATAAAGAGACAGACACACCAAAGAGAATCAAACAGAACTTCTGCAGATAAGGAATATAATGCAGTCAATAAAAATCTTCCTCAAAAGTATTAACAGCAGATCAGTCTATGCAGAAGAAAGAATCTCTGACCTTGAAGGCAAAATTTCTAACATAGTTATAATTGACAAGAATGAAAAAAGAAAAAACTTTAAAAATGAGGCTGACATACAGGAAATCATAAACATCATGGCCGAATATTTGCATAGATATTCCTGAAGGTGAAGAGAGAGCCAAAGGCTTAGAAAGTCTCTTTCATGACATATTAGCTGAAAACTTTCCA